TAGGCAGATAAAGATGCCGAAGGAAGATGTTTAATGTTACAATAAAGTTGAGGCCAATAAAGTGCAATCCAACAACTTCGAGTAGTCTTTTCTCAAATAATGTATTCAAAACCTTTCATTGCCGACTAATGCTATTTTTAAGTTCTATTGCCTATTATTCTGGAATGTTAATTATTTTAAATACTTGTTTTAAAAAAAAATTGTGTAGGTACTAATTATGACGCATAAATTTTTTACCCAAATATCGAGCTTTTTTGTATAGCCAGACTTTTTGAAATCGGTCAAAGCTGTTTTGAGGTTAATTTTTAATTTGTTGGCTATGTGGTACCTAGTAATATGCCGATCTCACTCCACTTTTTCAAAAAAAGGCATCGCGACCAAAACGAGCTGCATCTTTGTCATCACAATTCCCGGACTGAAAGCGTTTGAACCAACTTTGTGTTACTCCTACTGACACAGCTTTAGGTCCATAAACACCAGATTTTTTTATACAGAGCTTCAAAAAATCATTAAAACATTATTAATTAATAAATCTTTCTATTCTATTAATGAATACCTTAATGACATAGAAATTAAATAATTGTTTTAGTATACATGACACAACATTTGTATTTGATTTGACACACCACATATTATACAATTGACATGATTTTATGATAACCCAATGACATCGACATTTTTAAATTTATATATATATATATATGTATAATAATTTTTAAAATAATTAATAAATATAATAATTTGAAAAGATGACATTTTTATTTACTTCACCTTTTCTTTTTCTTTTTTTTTTCTCAATATTTTTTTTCTCTTTATTTGGGATAACAAACAATCGTACAATATAATCACATTATTAAATACAATACTATATTTAAGCTTAATAATCATACAATCAACACCGTTATCCACATATTACTATCGGGTCAGTGTACTAAACAATTAAATTTGAATTTTTAATGTTCTATTATAAAACGACCCGTTCACTAGTAGATACAGAGAAAAACAAACTAATATATATATATGAATGTACATGCGCGCGCACATATACATACATAGTTAATACATAAATGTAAATAATTCAGTTAAACATAAATAAACAATTACATTAAATTGCATCTGATCCAGATAGAAACTCATACACAGCTTTTTTAAATTTGGAAGAAGTTAATCCAAAAATATCTATTTCATTAAATTTCTTGTTGTATAGTTCCATTATACGATTTAAAGGTGCACGCGCACCGGCATTTTTTCTACTTGGTTTAGGAAAGAACATTTGATGTGTATGAAGCTCACGTATACGCTTCGAGCGACTGGGTATACGAATGCATATTTGATTGGTGAGTTCATTACAATCAAATTTGTTATGGCAGATATTGTAAAGCAACGTTTGATCCTAGAGTATTCTTCTTGATTCTAAAGAAAGAATACTAATTTTTTTTAATAAAAGTTCATAACATTCATTAGAATTACTTTTAAAGCACTTGAACATTGTAGATTTTAAGAACTTTCGTTGAACTTTAAACTATATTTATTATACATTGAACTCCATATAACTGATGCATATTCAACCTGAGATCTTATTAGAGTTTTGTATAAAGTTAAAAATGTGGTGGGATGTTGGAAGGAAGAACATGTCCGCATGAAAAAACCATAAAGCTGAAAGGCTTTATTGGTTATGTGCGGTACGTGTTCATCAAAGTGTAGTTTAGAGTCTAAGTACAATCCTAGATCCCTATTTAAAGATACCGATTCCAACGAAGCACAGTTTAGTTTATAACTATATTTAATAATGTTAATTTTTTTTGTGAATGTGATATATTTGCATTTTGATGTGCCTAAGTGAAGTTTATGTTTTTCACAGTAGTTTACCGAGCGATTTAAGTCTTGTTGTATTTTGTCACAGTCTTCGATAGTATTGACACTGCGATAAATTTTAAGGTCATCTGCATAAAGGAGAAAGTTCGTAAAACGGAAACAATCACCGATATCGTTCACAAATAATATAAAAAGCAAAGGCCCAAGAATAGATCCTTGCGGTACGCCTGAGCTGACATTTATGATATTAGATGAGAAACCATTAATAATAACCCGTTGAGATCTGTTTAAAACGTATGATGAAAGCCATCTTAACAAGTTTCCTCGTATCCCATTGAACGCAAATTTCTTTAAAAGTATGCTGTGATCAACCTTATCAAAAGCCTTAGCGTAATCAGTGTAAATTGCTTCTACTTGCAAACGGTTATCCATGCAGTAAAAAGATAATTTGTGTAGAGAACAAGGTTAGTTGTAGTTGACCGATGTTTTACTTATCCATGTTGTTCAGGTATAATTATGTTATGTAATGTAGGATAAATTTGCTTATGCATTAGCCTCTCATGAACCTTTGATATAGTTGATAACAAAGATATGGGGCGGTAGTTAGAAACGTCGTTTTTGCACCCACTCTTGTAGACTGGTGTTACATTAGCGTTCTTCCATATCTGGGGCATAGTCCCTTCACTAATAAATTGGTTAAATATAAGACACAAGGGAACACTAATAGCTGCGGCAGTGTGTTTGAGGAAAAATGGTGGAAGGCCGTCAGGTCCAGGTCCTTTACTAATATCGAGTAACATGAGCTCTTTGACTAAGCTATCCACAGAAAAGGAGATATTTGAAATAATCTCAGAATTGGGATTAGAAGGCTGGTTACTAAAATTCTCCTGCTGTAACTGCTGTCTATTTTCATAAACAGAGGTGAAAAATTCAGAAAATAATTCAGAAAATAAAGAAGAATATAGACGTTAAGGCGCCATTGTGAAATTGTGTTATTTGTCATAGGTATCATTGCACGATGCTTTTCACCTATAGTATATAGCATTTTTGTGAATATTTAATACCACCTACACATATGGTTATTGTATTTTTATAATGTGCAATCAATTTTAATAAGTATTCCATTTTGCTTTTATTGACTATAACGTAAATAAATATATTTGTACACCACACTGTGGTAAAATACACGATACCTACTGTTAATTTTACTAACACCTAACTTACTGTATTCACAAATAAATAAATGAATTTGAATTTGAAATTATATATCATAATTTTTATATTTCACGTAGAAATAAGGTTGCAGAGAAAACAAAAACATCGTTGTAAATTAATTACTTATTCTCACTATAGTTGTAGACAATGGAAGCTTCATTTATTTTACGTTTTGACAACCTTTATAAAAGGAGAGTTGGATCGTTTGTTGCAAACGACACAAATAAAAAAAAGATAACAGCAACTTATGAAACAATATTTTTTTAGAGCAAAGCACCTTTAATCAATAATACTCACAAAGACCGTAGAACTATAAAACACACGTGGCAGAGTGGTTAAAGAACCTGAAAGTGTTCGAACTCCACCACAGGCAAAATATAGCACACGCTATTCCATGTTTCATTACAATAGAGGTGGGTAAGTTATATTTGAGTATATCTACAGTGCTTACATTTTATATTGTAATATCTTTCTTGAGACTAATGGTCCCCACTCACGGTCAGTTAAACTGACATCAGTTCGACTGATGACTTCAAACGGATTTAATCCAAAAAAACTTCGACACACACGGTCAGTTCAACTGATCAGTTCAAACTAGGGCTGTTAATATTTTTAAAATATCGGATTTTCAATATATCGAAAAAAATATCGACATATCAACTTTGTTTAAAAAAAAAACAATCGTAAGTCATTTACTTTAGTTCGTTTATTATATTTATTAAGCAAATTAAATTATAACTGTATTAAAATGTTAGATTATAGTTCTTAGTTAAAGTTACAGCCTACATAAGACCCATTGCTGGGCACAGGCCTCCCCTCATTTCTAAGAGGGTTTTAGGGCAAGGAAGTGTCCACCGCGCTGCCCCGATGCGTGTTGGCGACCTTCACATGTCTTCGAAATATTTTTTCTTATTTCTCAGAAATGCAGGTTTCCTCACGATGTTTTTCTTCACCCCTGAGTACGCGGTAAATCAGCACTTAAAATTGCAATTCATTGGTTCCGGCGAGGATCGAACTCGGGTTGCTCGCGTACTGTCAAATTTACAGCGGGCGCTAACCATCTGAGTTACACGGCTCATAGTTCTTAGTAATTATTGTTTAATTTAAATAAGACAATTATGTGTACCAATATTTTTCCGTAAGAGTTTTCAAAAATACTCATAGTTTTATATGTTCAACTGTTTGATGACTACGATCATTGGGCACTAAAAGTTTGATTGTAGAAGCACAGGTGCTACAGATGTAGCTGAAGAAATCAAATATTTAACAGCTATTTCTGATAGTACGGGAGTAAACTGTCTATCCAGCGGTACGTAGTACTATTATTTATTCTGCGCCAGCGGACAGTCGATGACGACAGTCACTCAAGTTCATAAGACGCCTAAGCGATCAAAATAACTTGAGGTTTATATCAACATCGAAGCACTTTTTTCTTCGTTTACTCTAATAGTTCACATGCGCAGACATGATAAAACAGGAGCAACAATCCGTTGACGGTCAAGTTCCGGCCAAAGCTTACAGTAAGTAAAGTAGTACTAAGTTTCATAGATTATAGTAATTTTAATACCACAGAGATGTACTATACAAAATGACATTTGTTTTTAAGACAATAAGCAAATAAACAAACTGGGGAAAATTGAAAAGCATAATATAGTAGGTAGTAGTAGTTTAAATGATTTACGAGAAAAAAATAAACTTTTTATTTAAAAAAAAATCGACTAACGATATCTATATTTCAAAATCATACTATCGGTATATTTTCCAAAAAATATTAGTAATAAATGCCGATATTTCTAAATAATAATATCGATTTTTGGATATATCGATATTTTATCAACAGTCCTAGTTCAAACGCGTAGACTACCTACTGTATTCTATTCAAACTATGTCATTTCTCCATCGACGGGGCCGCGCGTATACGTGCGCTACATGTGTGGCTAACAAACCTCTCACCGCGTCAGTTGAAAAAAATGGATTCATCTTCTGAAGAGGATATTTTACTTACTGCGACTGCCGTTTGTTGCCATTTAATAACTTCAAAACCCAAAAAGAAATGGACGAAAGAATGGTTAAAAAAGAGATATCAATTATCTCATATTAATTTATTAAATGAGTTATCACTGGAACCAAGTGACTGGCGTAACTATTTAAGAATGGACGAATACACATATTTCAAGCTACTTGAACTTGTGACTCCATATATTGTGAAACAAGATACAAAAATGAGACAAGCTGTTAGCCCCAATGAAAGGCTGACTGCCACTCTTCGTTTTTTAGCATCGGGAATGAGCTATGAAGAATTGAAATTTCAAACTGTAATATCGCCACAACTTCTAGGAGTTATAATTCCGGAAACATGTAAAGCAATACTCATGGTATTGAAAGATTATATGAAGGTAGGTATTTTATAGGTTGAATAAGTAATTCGCCACTAACGCCGCAAAGGGGCAAACCTCAATTTTTCGAAAAATTACAGGAGAGCAAGAAAACATTTATTATTCTGCGATTACTAGCTTTTTTCATCAGTAAATTAATCTTATTTGTAGTTTTCCATTAAGTCTAATATATTTAATTTTCTGATGAAAATAAGCTAGTAATCGGGGAATAATAAATGTTTTCTTGCCGTCCTGTACCAAATTTTTTGATAAATTGAGGTTCGCCTCTTTGCGGCGTCAGCGACGAATTAGTCCAGGAGGAATCGGCGCATGAGTACCAAAAACTATTCCTACCTACTCCATTTTTTATGCGATTCTCTTCAAATTGTCTTACTGATGATATAAATGCATGTTGCCATGGGGCAACTCGGTGCCATATTGTTTATACCGATTTTTTTTTCAATTGCAAGGAATTGTTATTTTAAAACGACATTTATTTTATATTCTTTGATAAAATACGAATAAAAAAAGTTATATGATTTTTTACGATAAAGTTAATATTTTCGAAGTTATGAATTTTTAAATGTTTTAAAATTCCAAATTTGAATACTATCGACCCATTAAAATGTATAGAAAAAGAATAAAATATAAAAGATATTTTTATATTGTTTGATAAAATATGAATAAAAAAGATCCTATGACTTTTTACGTAGAAGTTAATGTTTTCGGAGTTATAAATTTTTAAATGTTTGAAAATCTCAAATTCAGATACTCTGACTCATTTAAAATATATGAGTAAATTTATAAACACTACAAATTTGAACAGAATCGCATAAAAAATGTGAGGTGGAATAGTTTTCAGTACTCATGCGCCGATTCCTCCTAGACTAAATACAGGTTGTTTAGTTGGATATGTCACTGTATAATTGTAAACGGAATGGATGATTATACGGTGACAAATTGAAAGTAGATGTACGCCTGAATGACGGCCTTGTAGTAGTGGTGTAAGAATAACCACTATTCCATATCACCGTGTGGGTGTCGTAAGAGGCGACAGAGGGAAACAAATCAGGAGATGGGCAACAGTCTTCCTAATAACGACTAAAAATAAAAATAAACTACGGTCGCCAGCCCGTTTGCCAAGTGTGGCAACTATGGCAAATATCCCCCCTAAGAGGCAACCTATGGGGGATATCTATGTGTAGCAGTGGACTTTAATAGGCTGAAACGGTAACGGTACACATGTATACAAATATATTTTACCATTGGACCATCTTGTTTAATTCAAAAAATTTGCTTTTCTTTAAAAAAATCGATAAGTTCTTGCTCAACTAATATTTATGGGAGAGCTGATTCAGAAAGTTAGTTCTATAGTAAAAATTGTTTGTATTGTGTATACATTCACCTTTCGTTTCGTATGTCATTTCTAAATAAAGCCACGTATTTTATATTTTAGGTGTAACTTTTAGGGTAGAGGATACTGGGTACAATAATAAAATTAAGGTAGAAAGACAATTTTTTTATTTATATGTTTTATATTTAGACTTAAAAAAACTCTTCAGGGTGTCTCTGGTCCAAATAAAGATATATAGGATGATTGATTTTGTACGGACGACGATGCTAAAGGTAGCTGTTGATGTGGTGATGGTGATGCTAAAAATCTAGACTGTTCGTGAGAAAACTGATGGGGTTGTTAATTTAGTATGGACGGTGATGGCAAATGTTGATGTGATGGTGGTGATTGAGTTTGAGAAGATGGTGATTTTAAAATGTAGACCGTTGGTGAGACGACTGATAGTGGGATTTATTTTGTACGGAAGACGATGCTATAGGTAGCTGTTGATGTGGTGATGGTGATGCTAAAAATCTAGACTGTTCCTGAGAAGACTGATGGGGTTGTTGATTTAGTATGGACGGTGATAGCAAATGTTGATGTGATGGTGGTGATTGAGTTTGATAAGATGGTGATGTTAAAAATGTAGACCGTTGGTGAGACGACTGATAGTGGGATTTATTTTGTACGGACGATGATGCTATAGGTAGCTGTTGATGTGGTGATGGTGATGCTGAAAATCTAGACTGTTCGTGAGAAGACTGATGGGGTGGTTGATTTAGTATGGACGGTGATGGCAAATGTTGATGTGATGGTGGTGATTGAGTTTGAGAAGATGGTGATGTTAAAAATATAGACCGTTGGTGAGACGACTGATAGTGGGATTTATTTTGTACGGACGACGATGCTATAGGTAGCTGTTGATGTGGTGATGGTGATGCTAAAAATCTAGACTGTTCGTGAGAAGACTGATGGGGTTGTTGATTTAGTATAGACGGTGAAGCCAAATGTTGATGTGATGGTGGTGACTGAGTTTGCGAAGATGGGGATGGTGAAAATCTAGACCGTAGCTGAGAAGACTGATAGTGTGGTTGATTTAGTATAGACGGTGAAGCCAAATGTTGATGTGATGGTGGTGACTGAGTTTGCGAAGATGAGGATGGTGAAAATCTAGACCGTTGGTGAGAAGACTGATAGGGTGATTGATTTTGTATGGACGGTGATTGAGGATGTTGCAGATAGTCGGTGACAATGTGGGATGTATAATTTAAGTTATTGAATTCAGCATAAAATATTGCGTCATTTATTATCTTTTGACAATATTTGGCTGCATCTTGGTTCATACTTCTCAACTTTTCAGCCACATGCTCGCCAAATGCACTATATGGTGGTTTTGATTTTGTAACTGGTGAATCCAGCCTGTTTGATATTTTTGATAAAACTTCTGTTGCGGCATTTTTTACTTTTCTTTTTGCAATATTAATTTGCCGTGGGTAGTTTTGTTGTGATATGCTCATCCTGCATGCTGTCTGATTACACTCTTCCTCCATCTGTTCCTCAGTATTCGTGTCCACATCATCCTGAAAAATACACATGCTTTTATTACAGATGCCAGAAACAGAGGCCGAGTGGCGAACAATTGCGAAAGGATTCGAAGAAAGATGGCAATTTCCTAACTGTCTGGGCGCTATCGACGGCAAACACGTCCGGATTGTGCCACCGCCTGGATCGATTGCCACTTACTACAACTACAAAAAATTTTTTAGCATTGTTTTAATGGCTTGTGCCAATGCAAATTACGAAATTATATGGTGCGAAGCCGGTGTAAATGGCAGAAGATCTGATGGTGGTGCTATTACTGAAACGCGTTTTTATAAGAAGTTAAATAATCACGATTTAAATATTCCCAATAAAAAGGAGCCCCAAAACAGTACCAAAGATTTGCCTTTTGTATTTGTGGCCGACGAAGCATTTAAATTAACACCCGACCTTATGAAGCCTTTTGGTAAAAATGCTCTAACTCCAGAGAGAAGAGTATATAATTATAGATTATCACGAGCAAGAAGAGTAATTGAAAATGTTTTTGGAATAATGACTCGTCGTTTTCGAATTTTTAATACGGCCATTAATTTGAGTATACAACGAATCGATCTTGTTGTCCTAACGTGTTGTATTCTCCATAATTTTTTGAGGAGGTCGGGATCTAATTATTCAGACTATGAATTATCTGATATTGACGACAGTACGAGTACTGTGGAAGACAATATACCAGTACAAGGTATCATTCCATTAAATGTAATTAATGGCAATGTTAGCAATGATGCAAAATTTGTAAGAGAAGAATATGTACAACATTTTAATGGTGAAGGTGCTGTTAGTTGGCAAAATGAGAGAGCATTCATTTAGTTTACTTCTACAATAAATATAATGAAAAAGGAAGCTAATGATGTTTTATTTTAAAACATTATACCCAATTATCATAAAGCTAACGGTGGTAGAGCCACGCAACAGTCTTTGCTGTTGCACGTATGGGCCGGCTCGAGCCGGGTTAGTACCACGACCTCACAGAATACCGGCGTTTGCCCTCCCCCCCATCAACATGGTAGCGGAATTACAACAAAGACTACCCCAGGAGTGTATCAGCACGCCTGGAGAATCCCTCGCTGAGCATCCACGACCATGTTAATCCATCCTGAGCGTGGGTGCTCAGCCTGCCCCGCGTATTCGGGGGAGCAAAATTCCGCTCAAAAACATAACTGCTCGGGGCAAACTGAGCAAATATACCAAGGCGACCTCTGCCACGCTATCCGTGAATTTTTGCAACATCAGGGGACTTCACTCGAACCTAAACGCCGTCCACTACCATCTCGAGACGGCGAAGCTGGCCTTGCTCTTTCTGACCGAGACGCAGGTTGATATTTCGTATCTCTCCTACCCGGGGTACAAATTGGAGCACTCCTTTGTGCCTCGGGCTGGAGTTTGCGTGTATGTCAGAGAGGACATCTGTTCTCGATGCCTCGGCAGTCTTGAAGGTTTGGACCTATCCATCCTTTGGCTACGCGTAGACAGCGACGATCATCCACGCGTCTACGGGTGCCTCTATAGGTCCCATAGCGGTAATGCCGAAACAGACCGACTCATCGACCACATCCAAATGGCTACAGATTCCTTCCTACAACAGTTCCCATCCGCAGAGATCGTGATCCTTGGCGATTTTAACGCCCACCACGCCGAATGGCTCGTTTCACGTTTAACCGATCATGCGGGGAGATCTGTTTATGACTTTGCCTTGGCATATGGTCTGACACAACTGGTTACTTCGCCTACGCGGATTCTAGATGTGCAGGATCATACACCGTCCCTGTTGGACCTTCTGCTGACCTCTCATCCAGACGGATATCAGGTTTCCGTCGATGCCCCTCTCGGCTCTTCGGACCATTGTCTGATCCGGAGCACGGTGCCACTCACGCTCCCCTCGCGGTTGCGTTCTGCAGGTTGCCGCCGTGTTTGGCATTACAGGTCGGCGGATTGGGACTGAATGCGGTCTTACTTTGCATCCTACCCATGGGGGCGGGTTTGCTTCTCGCCGGATGATCCCAGCGCTGTTGCTGACTCTGTCACTGATGTGGTGCTACAGGGAATGGAACTATTTATTCCATCGTCTGTGGTACCCCTCGGAGGCAGATCTCAGCATTGGTTTGGTCGCTCCTGTAAGACTGCATTACGCAGTAAGCAGGAGTGTTATCAAGTCTGGGCGGCGGCTTCGGCGACTCGGGATGTAAACACCAGCACACTTAAAAAGAAGTATAACTTCGCCTCCAGGTCCTTCAAAAGAGTTATTGCCAAGGCAAAGTCACAACACATAGGCAGAATTGTCGAGAAACTAGTTCGCTTTCCTTCGGGAACCCGTGCATTCTGGTCTCTCGCCAAGGCTGTCCAAGGGAATTTCTGTAAGCCATCACTACCATCTCTGCAGAGGGAGGACGACTCACTGGCCCAAGCCGCAAAAGACAAAGCCGACCTTTTATGCTCCCTTTTTGCGTCCAACTCGACTCTTGATGACGGGGGGAAAACACCGCCGACCATCCCGCGGTGTGTGTGCTCCATGCCGGATGTGCTGTTCTCACAGCGCTCGGTTCGCAAAGCACTCATCTCCCTGGACATCCAGAAGTCGAAAGGGCCTGACGGAATCCCCCCCAATTGTGCTGAGTACGTGTGCTCCGGAGTTGGCACCGGTCCTAACGCGTCTTTTCCGGTACTCCTACTCCCAAGGCCTAGTCCCGAATTCATGGAAGACAGCTTTTGTCCACCCGATCCCTAAAAAAGGCGACCGCTCAGACCTGTCCAACTATAGGGCTATCGTGATCACCTCCTTGTTCTCCAAAATAATGGAATCCATTATTAACTGCCAGCTCATGCGGTACCTTGAGGATCACCAGCTGATTAGTGACCGCCAATACGGTTTTCGTCGGGGTCGATCAGCTGGTGATCTTCTGGTCTACCTGACCCATAGATGGGCGGAGGCAGTAGAGTCCAAGGGGGAGGCGTCGGCCGTTAGTTTGGACATTGCCAAGGCCTTCGATCGGGTATGGCACAAAGCGCTTCTATCGAAGCTCCCTTTCTATGGGCTTCCCGAGAAATTGTGCAATTGAATCACCAGCTTCCTTGCAGATCGGAGCATCAAGGTTGTTGTAGACGGTGCATGCTCCGACTACAAGCCTATTAACGCTGGTGTTCCACAAGGCTGTGTGCTATCACCAACGCTGTTTCTTCTGCATATCAATGATATGTTGCAAACCGGTAACATTCATTGCTATGCAGACGACAGCACTGGTGATGCTTTATACACCGGTCGTGCCAATATTTCTCGGGAAAACCTCACCGAGTACCGGATCAAACTTGTGTCTGAAGCTCTGACTTCGAGACTTTGTTGAATAAAGCCACAGACTGGGGGTGACTTAATCTAGTCCATTACAATCCCCAGAAGATACAAGTTTGCGCTTTTACCGCTAAAAAGAACCCCTTTGACATATCTCGTCAGTTTCAAGGTACCCTTGTTGCCTCAGCCAGTATCGGAATCCTCGGTGGCGACATATCGAGTGACGTGCAGTTTCGTGGCCACTTGGAAGAGAAGGCCAAATTGGCCTCTAAAAAGCTTGGCGTGCTCAGCAGAGCGGGACAGTATTTCATGCCGGCACACCGCCTGCAACTTTACAAGGCGCAGGTTCGGCCTCACATGGAGTACAGTTCCTATCTCTGGGCAGGGGCTCCCCAGTGCCAGCTCCTTCCACTTGACCACATCTAGGGCAGAGCGACTCGAATCGTCGACGACCGAGTCCTTTCCGATCAGCTCGATTCATTAGCACTGCGAAGAGATGTTGCATCCCTTTGCATTTTCTTTCGCATCTACCATGGGGAGTGCTCTGAGGAATTGTTCGGGTTAATCCCAGCCAAATTTCACGAACGCACATCGCGGCAGAACTCCCGATACCATCCACACCATCTGGATGATTGGCGGTCCACCGCTGTACGATTTAGAAGATGTTTTCTTTCTTGCACGACTTCCTTGTGGAATCGATTACCATCAGCAATTTTTCCGGACCGATACGACTTAGGGACCTTCAAGAAAAGAGCGTACTCTTTTTTAAAAGACCGGCAACGCATCTGCAATTCCCTCCCTGGTGTTGCGGTTGTTCATGGGCGGCGGTAGTCACTTACCATCAGGTAAGCCGCATGCTCGTTTGCCCCCTCTCCTATAAAAAAAAATTCGAACAATTCCAGTGATGGCAGTACTCATGAATACAAACATTTAATATGGGACCAACCTACTCGAAAGAAATCAGATGTTTAACATATCTTGGTCGAGTAGGAATCGTCATTTTGTATGGATCAGCTAATTTTTTTGACTAGGAAAGCTTGCTTCATAGAAAAAGTTGTTGGTATTCAAGAGTGAAAATAATCATAGTGAAAATAATTTAAAATTAAAAATTTTGTACAGCCGACTTCAATATAAGTTATTTAAGAATAACTTAAAAACTATTGGTCTGACCTTGATCAAATTCATACGGGACCACGCGAGAAGTACCAGCTTTCAAATAAAAAAAGAATCATCGAAATCGGTTCACCCAGAAAAAAGGTCTGAGGTAACACACATAATTTGAACTCCGCCGTTGCCGGTCCCAAGCCCGGATGAGAAAGGAGGAGGGGACGAATCCGCTGGAGAGAGTGGGTGTATCCGGTGGACTAACACACCCACCTGCGCTAGGACCTGCGCAGTCGAGCGCCGTACGCGGGGATGAAGGAGTCCTGGAGGGTTGAGCCGATCGTCGCTGGGGTATATAGTGGCGAGAGGCAACACGCCCTCTTTGGTCCGGATTTCAAGCTAAACGGTGGCCCTATCTGCTAGCCACAGATAGGGAAATGGCCAAGCGCCCCGTCAGAGGGTCGCAGGCGAGGGATGTGGGGGCTGCCTAGTCTTCCTGAAAAGGGGGCTGGGTGGTGGTAAAGGCCATGCTGACGGAGCAAGTGACAGTTTATTCGGGTGGTGGGGATGGGCCTTGTCAGCCCCATCTACCAGCTGGATCGAGCTCCCGATGTCGCGCTGTGAGTCAACTTCGCGTCCCTATATTCTCCCGGTAATCCTAACGCCTGAAATTCCTTTTGCTTCTAAAGTAGGGCGTTCCCAAAGGTGCGGGCTCCATGGAGGGTGGGAAGCCGGGGGGATGAATTTTAAAAAAAACACAAATTATGGACAATTTAAGGCCCAATAAGAAAGAGGGAGAGGTGTCAGAGGTGCTTACCAGAGACACCAAAGAACAAAAGGGAACCGTCACTAAACCGACGGTTCCACGGACAGTACCGTCCAGCGTAGGTGCCCCCACCAAAGGGATAACCTCGCTGAACGTTTCCAAAACCAGTTCCAAGGAGCTGGAAGAGAAAAAGAAACAAGAGCCCGCAAGTGATAAAACTGCGGAGCCACTACGGACTGACGACCTTTTCTCTGCTGCCTGGCAAGTGGTGAGCCGTAAGGGGAAAGGCAAGGCACCCAAAAAGGTGACTTGCCGACCTGACGGACGATCAGGAGGGTCTATCCCTGCAGGCAGTAGTGGAAAGGCCAAAAAGAAGAACAAGAAGCAGCGGGAAAAAGGCCGTAGAGAACGAGCCGCATTGGCTGCTTCAGATACCAAAACCAAGGAGGCTGGGCAAGCTACTGCGACTGAGGTACTTGGCGCTGAAACCAGTAGCCGCGCTGAAGCTGGGAAGGATAAAAATCCAGCCCAAGTGGAAGTCGCGGACGCGGGAACCAGCTCTAGGATATCCGCCAGGAAGCAGCGAGCGGCCAAGCGTCCTGGGAAGAAGGAAAGAGCAGCCAAAAGGATGCTGGAAGAGTCCACCTCGCCTAGAGGTGAACACAAAAAAGTGCGACTCGAACAGCAACCAAAGACTGCAAGAACGAGCTACGCTTCCGCTGCTAAAGCAGATTTGGGTGTGGCCTTAACGTGTGCGCGTTCAGGTCACATTACGAAGGAAGTAGCAGACGACATCCTCGTAGCAATACAGAGGAAGATGATCAGCGAGGCCTGGAGTAGCCAGGACCCTGATGGGTCGGGCCCAGTTTTTAGGGGCAAACCCGTTTATACGGAAGGTGTCCTGAAACTGTGGTGCGACGATCAGAAGGCTCTGGACTGGTTGAAGGGGAACATTGCTACCCTCGACCTTAAATCCAGCACCTTGCTGACAATAAAGAAACAGTCAGAGATACCACAAAGAGTCAAATGTGGTATCCTTATCCCTGATGCCCAGGGGGCCTGGAAAGACTCACGCGACATTGGTCGCGTGTTGGCGTACCAGAACCGCTGGGTTAACATCAGGGACTGGCTGTTACTCAAGGCAGATAAGCAGACGGACGGGTGGTTCCTCGTTGTTTCGGTGCCGGAGGATCATATCCCGACCCTGATGAAGGCCGGACGCCGTCTCGCATGTGTATGCGGGGCGGTATACGTAAAATTCCAGGGTCGTGGAGGCAAATTCTTTGATACTCCACCGAGCAAAGAGGTAGAAAACAACCCGGAAGTTATGGATACCGGAGCCATAGTTACCGGTACAGCGGAATCACTGGAGGCCAAGTCCAGTGAAGAAACGGCCTGCACAATTGAGCCGAAGCCCCCAGTGGAGATTGGGCTCAGCGGCAGCTCACTGAGTGACGAGGAGGACTGCATTTTGCCGACCACCTCCGACTCGGTGGCTGACGATGAAACCCGAGATCTTCTGGCAGGCCTATTTTTTGGCGGGGACGGGGAGGACGCGATCAATGATGGCGTGCCCTTCGTCCAAAACTAGCCTAGTGCAGGCCAACCTCCACCACAGCGAAACTGCGTCGGCTCAATTACGCAAGTGGTTGGAGGTTCAAAGGACTGCCATAGCCTTAATCCAGGAGCCATGGGTTGGGGCTGGTAAAATTAAAGGCCTAAACAACCTAAAAGGTAAGATATTCTACAGCTCTGAACACAACAAGCCTAGAGCGTGTATTTACACTACTAAAGATATCTGTGCACAACCTTTAACAGATTTCTGTTCTAGAGACATGTATGCCGTAGCAATACAGTACACACAGGAGAGTAGATTAGTCGTCGCCTCGGTCTACATGCCGGAGGAAGATACTCCTCCCCCTCATGACCTCAGCAGGGTGGTGAACTTCTGCGAGAGGACCGGACTAGAGGTTGTGATCGGGACGGACTCCAACGCACATCATCCCCTTTGGGGAATGGAAAAACCAAATGAACGAGGTAAAGTTTTAGTTGAATATTTATTTAGTACTAACCTAACCATTTTAAACATAGGTTCTGAACCTACTTTCATAAACAAACGCTGTCGCACTATAATCGACCTCACACTTGCAACAGAAGGAGCAGCCAAACTAATTACGGGATGGCATGTGTCGAGAGAGGCCTCATGCTCAGACCATAGATGGATCTGCTTCGCACTACAGGTCGATATCCCCTCTACACCACCATGGAGAAATCCCCACAAGACAGATAAAACAAAATACCTAAATAGGCTGACGTCTTTGCTAGCGGATTTTGAGGGGATAAATACTATAGCAGATCTGTCGCTCCTAGAAGAACAGGTAGCAGCTGTTACTAAGGCCATGATTGACAGCTACCATGAATCATGTCCAGAAATCACTCCACCAAGACATGCCGAGGTAAAACAACCGTGGTGGGGTAAATAACTCGATAGAAAACGTAAGAAGGTAAGAAAAGCTCTAAATAGGGCCATGAATACCTCAATGGATGAAGACTGGCTATTATATAAGAAAGCTAAGTCTGAATACAAAAAATGTATCAGGTATCGACGCTCGATTGGGTGGCGTAAATTCTGTGGCAACATAGAAACCTGCAAACAAGCAAATAGGATTAGGAATATTCTAGCTAAACAGAACACGTCGGGATCCATGTCTCTAAAGAAACCCGACGGTAGCTACTCAACATCGCCGGATGAAGCCCAACGCATCCTAATTGAAACGCACTTCCCAGGTTGCTGCGTAACCCAGGAGGCAAACCGGCATGACGACATACTGACATCAACAGCAGAAGACTGGAATTTAGCACAGAGAGTGGTAACGATGGACAAAATCCATTGGGCCATTCAAAGTTTCCTCCCCTATAAGGCGGCAGGACCCGACGGCATATTCCCGGCACTCCTACAGTGGGGGGGTAAAGCCCTAATAGTCAGACTTGCTGCCATAATGCGAGCCTGTCTTGCTCTTAAATATGTTCCTAGGGGATGGAGGGAAGTGAAAGTTACATTCATACCCAAACCAGGTAAGAGCGACTACACTGACCCTAAATCCTACAGGCCCATTAGCCTCACATCCTTTCTCCTAAAGACGATGGAGAGGATGTGTGAAAGGGAATTAAGGGGGTCGGCGCTAATGAACTTACCACTACACGACAAGCAACACGCCTACAGTCTAGGCAAATCAACAGAATCGGCCCTTCATAAGGTAATTACAAAGATTGAAGAGGCCATCCAAAACAAAGAAATATGTCTAGGTTCCTTCATAGATATAGAAGGTGCTTTTGACCGAACGAACTTCTCCAGCATAAAAGGTGCACTCGGTAGACACAAAGTTGAACCGGCACTGATCGACTGGATAGTTTACATGCTCAGTACACGAATAATAAAGATTGCTGGTGAATCTCAACCAATCCAAATTAAGAAAGGCTGCCCGCAGGGTGGGGTTCTCTCACCTCTCCTGTGGAATATGGTCATTAATGAACTCATCAGCAAATTAAATAACAATCACTTCTATACAGTAGGTTATGCTGATGACCTGACAATACTGGTCTCTGGAAAGACAGCAAGCATAGTGTGCGACCTGACCCAAGCGGCTCTCCGTATAGTGGAGAGATGGTGCAGGGAACACGACTTAACCGTCAATCCAAATAAAACGGTTTTAGTTATGTTCACACAAAAACGAAAGCTGAATAACTATCATCCTCCAAGTCTTATTAGCACAAAACTCCAGCTATCCTCTGAGGTAAAATATTTAGGTCTTACCTTGGACAGCAAACTTAACTGGAATAAACACATAGAAAACAAAATCAACAAAGCTAGTATAACTTTCTGGCAATGCAGAAACATGATTGGCAAAAGATGGGGATTGACGCCAAAAATCATACTGTGGCTTTACAAAACTGTAATTCGGCCCATGATCACATACGGCGCTCTGGTATGGTGGACCAAGACAAATGAAGCCACCATAATTAAAAAGCTTCAGCGCTACCAGAGACTGGCATGTATGGCTGCCACAGGCTGCATGAGAACTACGCCAACAGCAGCCTTAGAAGCGATGCTGGAGCTAACTCCGCTTCATCTACATATACAACAAGAAGCGACTTTAGCTGCCATCAGACTCAAGACCCTAAATCTTTGGAGTAAGAATAGTGTCCCTCATACAGGCATAATTGATAGAATTCACTCAAAAATTCCTATCCTACAAGCCAAATACGATAGGATTCCTAAACAATTTGTTTTCGATAAGAAATACAAGATACAGTTAAATGAAAACAGCCAGCCGGAAGGATTAAGCCCAAAAGAGCTTAGAATTTTCACCGATGGTTCTAAAACAAATGAAGGTGTAGGTTCTGGAGCTTTCTCTGAAGACCTCAATATTCACATATGCACACCGCTGGGTACCTATAACACGGTCTTTCAGGCGGAATGTATGGGTATCATTCAAGCGGCCATAGCAATAGATGCTAGGAAGGTTAATGACTTCCCCATCAGAATACTGACCGACAGTAGGGCGGTACTCCAAGCCCTGAGATGCAATGTGGTGAACTCGGGACTAATATATGAATGCCATCAACGATTAAATGAGGTATGTAAAAACAACAATGTGACCCTGCAATGGATAAAGGGACACAGTGGATCCAGAGGCAACGATGCAGCAGACGAACTGGCTAGAAGAGGATCGGCTTTGGCCACTATAGGGCCGGAACCAATCATACCAATCCCCTTTGGTAACGTTTGTTCACTGGTACGTAGACACTTCACTAATCAACACGCTCAGCTTTGGAAAAATCTAGTAGACTGTAGACAAGCTAGGGATGCCCTGCCTGAAATTAACAGTCGCTTAACAAAAGTTTTAATGAGACTGAACAAGCCGCAGATTAGGATAGTAACAAGTGCTATCACAGGACACGGCACCTTTAACAAACATTTATTTACTATAGGTGTTACAGATAGTCCCCTGTGCAGGGCATGTATGGGGGAGGAAGAAACGGCGGCCCACGTGCTACTGAAATGTCCGGAGGTCGCTACATACAGGGCTAAACATCTCGGCACGCCGGGATCACTCCCCGAAGTTGCATGCAACATCAAGGGCCTGTTGAGCTTCTTCGGAGAGATCTCATGGCTCGAATAATCACATTATTCCTGCCCACACGCAAAATACGCGCATAGACGTGGAGTTGCGGAAAACAGCCCGTCGTAAACTAACTAACTAACTAACTAACACACATAAAAAAAAAAAAAAAAAAAACGAAAAAAAAAAAAAAAACATACAGTCGAATTGAGTACCGGCTCCTTTTTGGAAGTCGGCAGAAAACATGGCATATTCCAAAGAAAATTACGATAGGTACAAACTCGAACAAAATGTATTGGTAGGTATCAATACGTTTTGTTTGACCTCATTTTAATCGACTTCAAATAAAGAGGAGGTTCTCAATTCGGATGTTTTTTTTTGTGTGTTATCTCAGACCTTTTTTTAGGTTAAGCGATTTTGATGATTCTGTTTTTATTTGAAAGGTGGTTCTTCTCATGTGATTTCATATAAATTTGATGAAGATCTGACCAGTAGTTTTTAAGTTATATTTAAGTGGTTTCAAATACATCGATGATGTTATAACTTTTTTTATTTGTGTTGTTGTATAAAAGGTTGTATAAATTTTTTAATTTTACCATCTGTCTATTTTATATTACAAATAAACACGTGTATATCCTCAATATTTTATCGTCATCAAAGGCGCGAACAAAGTAGATTAATTATGTCTTTACCTGATTATCAGTCGTGGCAATTTCATTTAGTATCTCATCGATGTCTTTTGAACTCCTGGAGGCATTGTCACTTTCTGACAAAAACATGATTAAATCATAAAACCATAATTTTGGTATGTACAATTCGTCGGTACCAACCCCCGATCGGTTCGTTGCTTTTATCTGTAACAAGCCAGTGATATTAGTCAAGGCATAGAATAAATAATAGTACTACGTACAGAAGTTACACTTCTTTGATGATGACTACATGCCGATGTTTTATAGCCTACATAATTATTATTAAATAGATAAATCAAGCACACAAGCTAAATTAAACTTTATCGCTGCGCGCGAGTGTTCATATGCTTTTGCATCTTTTCCCTTCCTATGTCACGGACCATTGACCTTTAGTAGGTAGTAGGTCAATGTCACGGATGATATTTCGTGGTTACCGGGGGCTTTCAACAAAGAGTAAAATAATGCAGTACGTATAGTGCCCTGTAATTATTCATTTAATTTACAACTGTTTTACTGAATAACGGTTATTATATTTAACAATGGAAAAACTTTAAATCTGATGTATAATTTAAGTAAATACTTGAATGGAAAACATGGACACATAATATTCGTTAATAATTTGAGTAAATTATTTGCTGTTTTTTTATTATAATGTTTTAAAATTGTTAATGAATGTATTTTCTATAATATAAAAGTAAAGTAGTAAGGTTGCAGCCTATTTACGTCCCAAGCTGGGCACAGGCCTAATCTCATTTCTCAGAGGGTATTAGGGCAAGGAATTGTCCACCGCGCTGCCCTAATGCGTGTTGGCGAACTTCATATGTCTTCGAAATATTTTTTTCTTATTTCTCAGACATGCAGGTTTCCTCACGATGTTTTCCTTCACCGCCGAGCACGTGGTAAATCAGCACTTAAAATTGCAATTAACAATTTCATTGGTGCCGGCGGGGATCGAACCCGGGTTGTTCGAGTACTGTGAAGCTTACAACGAGCGCTAACCATCTGAGCTACCACGGCTCTTGAAGCTTACAGCGAGCGCTAACCATCTGAGCTACCATGGCTCTATAATATACATATTAGACATGGGACGAGTACTCGGTTTCGATTCGGTACTCGGCGGATTCGGCCTTTTTTAGGGTTCGGCCAAGCACCGAGTATAAACGGCCGAGTACCGAGTACCTACGCGGGCTTAATTATATTCCAGAGAAAAATAGACGAAAAGCCAGTTTTATCATTATTATTATATTAGACACATTAAAACATCAGGAACACGAGAAGAAGCAGCAGTATTTAAAACGTACATAAGTATCTTTAATAGAAATTATTATTACAAATATTTAAAATTTAAGAGAGGAAGTTTGTGATGCAAAAGCACTAGTTTTTCGTTCTTATTTGGGTCTTGTTTGTAAGGGAAATAACCGCACGCCGCCCGCTACCGCGTTTTTTTAAAGCCGAGTATTCGGCAAAGTACTCGGCCCAATCTAGGCCGAGTACCCAGTGGCCGAGTACTCGGCGAATCACTACTCGTTCCATGTCTAATACTTAGATATAAATTACACCAAAACTTTACAACTATTTTTTTTAAAGCTTTAAAATTCCCTAGTACGTTGCTGACTGCGTATGTAATTTCGCGCGATTTTAGGTATTTACGCCACGCACACGCAGGTAGAAAGAGTGGCAGAGTGGGTCGATGTTTCAATAAAGGGGCAATCTTAAAATGGCCATCTGAAAACGATGAGTGATACCTATTACATGATATACATACCTTATTGTGCTCCTTTTTAAAGGCACATCTTAAATTATTGATTTTTTTAGTTACGGAATCCATATTTGCATTTTTGTCTTGTTTACGCAATATCTGCAACAGCGCCTCTAATGCAGACAATCTTTTTTGTTTATTTTTATAAAATGGGTTGTTTATTTTCCACAAGCATTCACACTCGTGGTATTTTTCAATGAATTCTGCAGTTACTGCACGTACAGACGCCATCGCGGTGAAGCTCCTAATGACGGCCAACGGTGTAAACTCTGTTCGCTTAGATACGGTTTCCTTTGTGTTAGCACATGCCGCTACTTGTCAAAGGCGCCGCCGCATTATCAAAGATCGTCGCCGCGACATCAAAGGTCGTCGCATGCGGCATACATCCGCACGTGAATTTGGCAAAAATAGTGTCCATTTTACATAACTTGTGTTTATTATTTATATTCGTATTTTGTTACAATAACCATAACAATAAATTAGTATTCTATTTCATTCTTAGAATAGATAAACATTTATTTAAATACAGTAAAAAATAATTGAATAAAAATAATTTAAGCAAAATAATAAGTGCGCCTGCGGTTGACCGACATCTTGGTGAACAGACTATAGGCACAATTTAAATAATGTTACTACATAACAGATATAATATCTCTCCCATACAAAAGCGAAAATATCTACGCTGTAACAACCTACAATTTTTTTATAATAATCGCAGACGTTAGCTGCAAACAAAAATATACCTTCTGCTCGCGTACCGGAAGCTGAGAACGCTTTGCCCACCGCGCGACCATCGTATAGCTGCGTCATCGAGCGAACGTGCTAGGATTGTACCAAAAATTATAAAATAAAAACTCGAATTAATGAAATAATTATTTGTTTTGTTTGATAATCCAATTTGTTGAGGTTTATAAAATAAGAAATTATTGGTATTGTATTAAGTTACATAACACATAATATACTCGTACACTATATTTAGTTTAGTTTTCTCTAGTCACAAGAAAATGTTTACTCCCCCATTTGGGTGAGGGGAGGGGGACTTAAATATTAATTTTTAGTTTAGAAGTGTCACAGACTAAAGATCAGATATTATGATAATTTAATTCATTGTGGTTAATTTTATTTATTTAATAAATATGTTATTTATTTTAAATTACCTATCTTTAGAGCTTGCGCCACCTCATTGACAAACATCTAAACCCGGAGCAATAATTTGTAGGCCATAGTTGTTCCGTGCGGAATTCGAACCCGCGGCCCTAGCATTGCAAATCATTGCTAAGCTACTGCGCCACGTAGCCATCAATTTGATGATAATAAAAACTTTATTGCTCAATGTAAGGAAGGTTAATATGCAACATCAAGGAAAATTAAGAATATAACAACGTGAACGTCTTTGAAACTCAGATAATTTATCTACTTACCATTTTAACCGACTTCAAAAAAGGGAGGAGGTACTCAAGTCGACTGTTTCTTTGTATGTTACCCCAGAACTTTTTTCTAGGTGAATCGGATTTAATGATTCTATTTTTATTTGAAAACTGGTGCTTATAACTTATACATCCCATAGAAATATGATCAAGATCTGACCAGTGCTTTTGGAGTTATCCTTAATAATGCGTATTAGTATTGAAGTCGGTTGTACAAAACTTTTAATTTCATTTGTTGTCTCTCTTCCTCTCTTTTTAAAAAACGTTACCTCCACACTAGTATTTTCTCCTGTATCGCAGGGACAGTTTACGTACATAGAACAGACCCAGAACAATTACACATATTTGTAGGCCATACAAATACTTGTTCCGTCCGGGCACCATCAGAAAGTTGAGATCATAACAGTCACCTAGATCTTTAAGAGCCCTTTCAAATAAGTTCATACACTATCGTTCTATCTAGTGCCGTCACTGAGATCCTATACCCACCTTCGGATTGCACCATCAGAAAGATGAGGTCATAACAGTCACCTCGGTCTTTATAAGCCCTTTCAAATAAGTTCAAACACGATCGTTCTATCTAGTGCCGTCACTGAGATCCCATACCCACCTTCGGATTGCACCATCAGAAAGATGAGGTTATAACAGTCACCTCAGTCTTTATGAGCCCTTTCAAATAAATTCAAACACGATCGTTCTATCTAGTGCCGTCACTGAGATCCCATACCCACCTTCAGATTGCACCATCAGAAAGCTGAGGTCATAACAGTCACCTAGGTCTTTATGAGCCCTTTCAAATGAGTTCAAACACGATCCTTCTATCTTGTGCCGTCACTGAGATCCTATACCCACCTTCGGATTGCACCATCAGAGAGGTGAGGTTATAAAAGTCACCTAGGTCTTTATGAGCCCTTTCAAATGAGTTCAAACTCGATCCTTCTATCTTGTGCCGTCACTGAGATCCTATATCCACCTTCGGATTGCACCATCAGAAAGGTGAGGTTATAACAGTTACCTAGGTCTTTATGAGCCCTATCAAATGAGTTCAAGCACGATACTTCTATCAAGTGCCGTCACTGAGATCCTATACCCACCTTCGAACTGCATTATCAGAAAGGTGAAATCATAACAGTCACCTAGGTCTTTATGAGCCCTTTCAAATGAGTTCTAACACGATCCTTCTATCTAGTGCCGTCACTGAGATCCTATAACCACCTTCGGATTGCACCATCAGAAAGGTGAGGTTATAACAGTCACCTCGGTCTTTATGAGCCCTTTCAAATAAGTTCATACACTATCGTTCTATCTAGTGCCGTCACTGAGATCCTATACCCACCTTCGGATTGCACCATCAGAAAGGTGAGGTTATAACAGTCACCTAGGTCTTTATGAGCCCTTTCAAATGCGTTCAAACACGATCCTTCTATCTTGTGCCGTCACTAAGATCCTATACCCACCTTCGGATTGCACCATCAGAGAGGTGAGGTTATAAAAGTCACCTAGGTCTTTATACGACCTTTCAAATAAGTTCATACACTATCGTTCTATCTAGTGCCGTCACTGACATCCTATACCCACCTTCGGATTGCACCATCAGAGAGGTGAGGTTATAAAAGTCACCTAGGTCTTTATGAGCCCATTCAAATGAGTTCAAACGCGGTCATTCTATCTAGTGTCGTCACTGAGATCCTATACCACCTTCGGATTGCACCAACATAAAGGTGATATCATCACAATCATCTAGGTCTCCATTTACCTATTTGAAAATGAGTCCAAACACGATAGTTCTACGTAGTAGCATCACTGAGATCCTTTACCCACCTTCTGAGTCCACCATAAGGAAGGTGACATCATTACAATCACCTTGGTCTCCATTCTCCGTCAAAACAACTTCTCTATATATTTAAAATAATATAAAATCTAAACAGCATACAAATAATGTAAGTAGCTACTAAGAAAGTATGTACTTACCAATAATGGAAACGAACTGAAGCCAGCGGATTACGGTGCGCCCGGAATAATACGTGGATTGCCGTCAGTTCAAAATTTTAACTTAAGATTTCACATTCACGATCAGTTTTTGGATGTACTTCAGTTCGACTGAGCAGTTTAACTGACAGCACGCCCGAAAAAATCCGTGTGTTGCCTTCAGTTAAAAATTTCAACTTAAGATTTCGCATTCACGGTCAGTTTTTGGATGTACGTCAGTTAAACTGTTCAGTTTAACTGACCGTGAGTGGCCACCATAACTAATGTTACAGTACGCCGTTACATTAGTCGGACAGAGGTTCTATAGTATCAATCAAACCTATGAATCAATTCAAAACAAGTTTAAGCAGCAAGCACCAAGCTTATTTAACATCAAATTATAATAACTTTTCCAATTTTTTAGAAAGTATTTTTTAATAATTCCTTCCTTCAACAAAATATACTTATTTAGAATAAACTTTCAAGTAATTAAAATTTATAATAATTCATAAGAATTAAGCTGGCAATCGTATCAATATTTAATTAAGCATTAAACTGAATTACTAAATGCCTTATCAACAACCCCTTAAATCGCTAAAACCGAAGATCATACGTACATAAATAATGTGCTTTATACACCATGAATGATTGATTTCAATTCATTAAGCATAAATGGAAACTTAAAAAGGATTACCTAGATAGCGAAGTTAATATTCTATACAATTCTTGTTATGATGTTGTACGAGTATCCTACAAGCTCGTAATGCGTCGCGTCCTTATGACAATATTTTTTTTTTTAAACGCTACCCCCACACTAGGATTTTCTCCTGTGTCGTGGAGGCAGTTTACAAACATAAATTGCACAAGGACAAACATCCAGACCCGGAACAATTATTTGTAGGCCATACAAATATATACTTGTTCCGTGCGGGATTCGAACCCGCAGCCCCCAGCGCAACAACTAATTGCTAAGCCACTGCGCCACGGAGCCGTCGAATATAATGACAGACAAAAGAACATCGCGTTGAATACCAACGAGGTCTTACACAATGGTCAAACACAATTTTAACAATACCTGTCAAACACGTTAGTAGTGCGGAAATGTTGGTGGGTGCTTTCACAGCAGCTGAATGGTGCCGATGCGCGTAGAGACCGATTAAGGACGGACGAAAAGATCAATTAGTCTTTCCACGTCAACATAACAACTGCCTTGCAAATTGTTATGTTGGCGCACTTTATTGAGGTTAGAACTTCCGTTTAGTTTATGTCATAAATTTATTATACTCTATAGACTTGGGGTGTAGCAGAGTATTTCGTGCTTATTTAACTCAGCAATCTCTTCTTTAGTGGATTTTTTGAGGTTCTCCATCTATTCGGGATATTTGAAGCACTTTTAATACAACATCTACCCATGTGATGCGGTCATATCCTTGAATGACTGCTGGATTTAACTACAGCTGTGTTTTACTTAAAGAAGATACCGAAAAGCACAGAGGTCCGTTACCGGGCTACAATGAAGTATTCAAAACGTGAACGCTTGGGCTATTAACACTGCAAGTATTATAGTACACTCACTATTCGATTGGCCAACTTCGCTGTCACGTAAACCACAGGGTATTTTAGATTTGATCAAGCGAGTCATATCAGAGCGCACGATAGGAAAGTTTCATAAATACTAGGCTCACCGTCGGCGAAATCGATGAGGAGAATTATAAATATAAATACTATTGACTTAGAGCCTTTTCACCTTGATAAGTATCGAGAATTGGAAGGTGAAATTTTCAAAGGCTAAAAGCGCAGTTTAAAATATTGAAAACAACGAATGCTATTGCAGTT